CTTCGCAAGTCCTTGCAGCACAGCTTCTGCCAACAGCTTTATGGACCGTGGGAAGGTCAAGCCTTACCATTTTATAGTATGGTGGTTTCTGGCCAAGTCCAAGCAGGCTAGAAGTTTGGCACTGATGCTGAAGTTTGCTTAAAATTTACTATTCTCTACATAGATCTAGATCATTCTAGATCTCTCCAGCCACTCACTGCGTGTGTTTCCAGCTGCTTGTTGTTGCCAAATGGCTCCTGTTTTCTGGTTCATGAAAAATCCTCTAATTTTTTGTCTCCAACCTGGATTCAAACAAACATCTATACATCTCTGAACAGCACTGCTCACATACGTCTTGATTCCACAGCCCAAAATCAATCACCATTCTGGAAACAGTCTGTCTTTCCATGAAATGGCGGGGTGGCAAACATCACCCACCGTGCTGGAAACAATCTGTTTTCTATGAAATGAGGGGGTGTAACCCCCAGAAGTTAATACATAGAACGTTTTATACTGAGGGATGCCCCTCCCCATTTCATAGGGGTTATTCACAGGTGTATGGTTCCATCGTCTCAACCACCTCCCACTGGCCGTTCTTCTCAACCAGCGTAGTTTGAAGCAGGTTCATTCCATCAGCCCTCAACTCCGGAATGAACTGAGGACTTTGAAAGTTTTGGCTGAAGTGGAAGCCAATCCAACCTTCTCCACTCTTTCTTCCATCCAATGGGGCCACGTGCCATGCTGCTCAACTCCTCTCCCAACCGAACCTTCAAAGCCATCACACTTCCAGATGAAGTCAAAGTCCTCACCTGGCCATGCACCACCAAGCTCTGGTTCTGGAACTGAAGAGGTACACGTACTTCTCCATGCACCAAGCTCTGATCCTCGCGGATCTCCCAACCTCACTTCAGGTTCCTTCCAAAAGACAAGATTGGTTGTGTCACCATGTCGCTGAAAGTGACTCTCTCGCGAAGCAATTGTGGCCTCCCATCTTCTGTAGTCAACTCGATGTCGACATCCCGATGCCCATAGGTCTGGATCTGTCGCCCTTGAGCATTGTGCAAGAAAGGAACCTTTCCTTCCACCTTTTGGCCTCTGGTCAACAATGACCCAGGAAATAGAGAAGCATCAGCACCTGAGTCGACAATGATGACCGTGGCCTCGGCCTCATGCTCTGTTGGATCTTCTTCCTCCTCCAGCTCGCCTCGGATGGCATTGATGGACTGTGGCAACTCATCCTCACCCTCATCCTCGGTGAAGATGTCATATAGAACTCAATCTTCGGCTTTCCAGTCTCCTTGAGTACCCGGATTGTACCTGAGGTCTCATCAATCTGCCTCAAGTCAAAAATCAAAGGTTGTGAAACTCTTCTGATGGCCTTTCCTGTCGATGAATTCCCGTCACCAGTTGTCGTGGTGGTCTGTGAAACTGCTGACTGACCGCTGGAAGGGACTGTAGTCTGTGCTGCTGGGATCTCGATCTGCCTGACACGCCAGCAATCCTTAGCCACATGGCCTGGCCGACCACGCGTCCAGCACACATCTTGATTGCCTTTGCCCTTCCCCTTGGTCTCTTTGTCCTTACCTTTCTGGTCACCTTTCCCGCTTCCACTCTGTTTGCCTCCTTTGCCTTTGCTCTTGCCCTTATCGTCTTTAGACTTGCCTTTTGCCTTGTCTTTGCCCTTTCCTTTAGACTCCTTACCTTTTCCCTTCTGCTGCAACCGATCAATCTCCATGGGCATAGGTCCACCTTGGTCTAGGGATTGCGTCATTGGGCTCAATGAGGTGGAGAAAGTCAAGGCTGCACTTTCATTCCACTTTGTATTGGCGGTGTCATAGGCAAGGACTGTCTCTCGAATTTTTCTGGTACGAGCTGCCTTCATTCAACGTCAAGTTGAGGTGTGTCTTCAAAGGACCTCCGATGACCTTCAACAGGACAGCTGCTTTCATGTCCCCTGCAAGCTTTCCTCCGAACTTTTCGTATTGGTTGAAGTGTTCTTCAAGCTTGAGGAGTTGGGGCAGAATGGATAGCTTCATGTTGAAGGGCGCATAGGACATGATCCCCTGCAACAAGTTCATTGTCCTGTTCCTCGCCTGCGGTTGGCAGTTCATCAACAATTGGCGTATTGCCTCATGGCCATTGTTTTTTTCTACGTTCTTGATGATGCCAATCAGGCGTCCCTGTACCAATCCTCCCAACAGGCTGTAGAGGAACCTTGCTCGTCCTTGTTCGGCGCTATCCATGAGCTCCCAATCCATCTCCTGGGACAAGTTGTCTTCCAGCTTTGCAATCTCCTCCTGGTAGGCTGAGTTGACCACTACCAGGTATGGATTCAAGCTCCAAAACCAATCCCTCCATTGCAAGATCTCTTGCTCCCTGTCACCGGGATGGAAAACTGCAGGTCGCGGGATCAACTTGGCAAGATCTTTCTTATTCTGTCCGCCTGACTCTGTTGCACTGCCCTGCACTGTTGTTGCTGTAGCTGCCGCTTGAGCTGCTTGTGTTTGTGCTTGTGCTGTGGCCAATAGGGCCTGTGCCAACTCTGCTGAGCCAGCTGTTGTCAAATCAACCAACCCAGCTGAACCGTCCGTACCAGCCCAACAAACACTCCCAGCTCCAACCTTCTATGGCCTCAAAGCCCAAAAGGTCGTCACCCTCAGTGTGTAGGTCACTGCCTTCTCTTCAAGAACTCCAGTGATGGCCTTGGGATAGCGAGGGCAATGGTATCCTCCAAGTAGCTGCTGGCGCTGATTGCGAGCAAACTGCAACACCAGGTTACGTCAGCTCGGCAGGGGCGAGCGCAACTCAGGGGGCGCGAAAGGAGGTGCGGGTTCTGCCTCCAAAGGTCCGCGGGAGCTCCAGCAAGAGGCAAGCAATCGCTTTCGCAGCTCCGCTACCATGCGGACTTTTCCTGAGCGCTAAAGGCCTGCGTTCACTTCTTGATTTGTGTGTGTCTTCATGACTGCACCATGTGACTGAGTGCTCTAGCTTTTACTTCGCAGTAGTAGCAATATTTATGTAATATAAACCTTGGCTTCTGGTGCTCTCTCTGTCTCTTTCTCTTTCTCTTTTCTCTTTCTCTCTCTCTCTCACAGCTGAGTTCTCGCTGCCTCATCGAGACGCCCTAAACATTGTAGGGCTTAGTTTCTCTTTGACCTTCATGGCTCCTGCACGAGGCTTCCCGATCCACAAGCACCCACTTCGGGCTGTGGTCCAGCATCGCCCGCGGCCACCTGACGCAACGCCTCCAGCTGGCTTCCCACTGAGGCCAAGCCTGCAGAGGCGTTGCGAAGTTCGGCATCCGCACGATCCAAACACCTGGGCGCGCGGCATCGCGCCACGCGTGCGGCGGTGCGGTCACTCGTTGTCAAGCTCGCTGTCAATTAATAGTCCAAGAACGGTCCAAAATCATCCAATATCCCCAACGGGCTGAAAAGCTCAATTCGACTGGACGCAGTCTCTTGCGCAAGGCTTTGTTTCTGAATGTTTCTTCCGGCTCTGCGGAATCTGCTTGCGCAGCAGAAGAAGCCTTGGCTCTAAGTCCGCCAAAGCACTCAATGAGCTCACTAGAAGGACCTGCCAACGCTTGCAAAACACCGTTCGAAGGGACTGGCATGGCCTATTTTGGCATCGAGGCTTCAGGTGCTCCACTTCACTACAACTGAAGGTCTATTGAATCTATTGATGTCTGTCTGTTGGCCTCAATCGCTGAAGCTAGCCCGTGCTAGTGCAGGCAACTGCGTGGTGAAAAGATGTGAAGAGTCTGGTCAACCTTTGCCAGTTTTTGTGCTGCAGTTTCTGCGTCGCATGTGCAAAAATGAGCCGAAAGGTTTGGAACAAAATGGTCATGCAACGTTCTCTTGGATCAAGGTGCCCTACAAACGCGAGGACAAATACCCTGTCATATATAGAGGTATATGGTTCGCTAAACCCTCCTGACATCTCCTCTCTCCCAGGGCCATGTTGGTTAGAGTTAGGGGAGTGTAAATCACAAAATATCAAGCACTGCACTTGAAATTCACCACTCAGCCACCCTACTCAGAGTCTTCAGCTGCAAATGCAATACAAGGTCACAAGGTCGTTAAGTGAAACTAGCTTGCCAACCCAATCCTAAGTGCCCTACGGACAAGAACACTTCAACACTGGGAGTACATGTCATGAAGCTAAGGGCTCAAACTGCGAGCGGACTGGATGGGCCTGAAGGTGGGACGAAGAGTTTCTCTGCACATGTCTGCTCCCGTACATGTGTCGGCCTCGTGCGCACACACACACACTTATTGAAATGCGTGCTGATTGGAAAGCGGTTGCCACACGCCAACCTGGTTTCCCAATCCTGAACAGTTCAGGTAAAAACCCAAAGGAGCCTGGGGTCTTCAAACGGAAAGGAGGCCCAAAGAGAGAGAGAGAAGGGAAAAGAGAAAGAGGAGGTGTTCCCGGGGGGAGGAAGGGGGCTAAGGTCCCGACAGACTCCAACGAGTCTTGAACAAGCTTCGACCGCTGCGGCCACGTACGCCGTGCCAAAGTGGCTGGCTGCTTAGACCGCTACGGTCACGTACAGGCATGAGCCAGCTTGGGATGCAATAGTTCAGCAAGTCTTGGCAAATAACTTGGGCCTAAGCTACTTTGCCCGCTGCGGACTACTCTGGTCCCGGGCGCAGGGACGAAGACAAACCCCCGTTCGACGGGTCCACACAGGGGCCACTCTTCGGGGCACCCCGGGCTGGCACGAAGCCAGACACACTTGAGATTATGCGTACGGATGCGAATGCCACTCGCCACACGGCAACCTAAGAAAACCAAATCCTAAAAGTCCAGGAAAGCCCTATGGAGCCTAGAGGTCTTCAAACGGAGACGGGGCCAAAGGCTCAAGTCGAAAACGAACCGACAGATGACGGCGTATCGCGCATGTCTGCGGAAGGCGTTAGCCCTCTACAGGAAAAGGAGGTTAACAGCTTGAGAATATCACAACCAAGCTGGTACAGGAAGGTGATCAGCCTTCCCTCCCCATCCATGACCGTAGCTTCGTTGCACACGGTAGGTCATGGATGCCGCGTGCCCCTGCTGAAAAAACACGCACACTTATGATTTTGCGTACGGAACTGAAAGCGGTTGCCGCACGCCAGCCTAAGTGAAAAACCAAAGAAACCAGGGTGAACCTGCAAAGGCTTCCAAAGTTCGCAAAAAGGTTCAAGGCATCCCCTGTAAAATTCACACGACAACCGAGGGGGTACCATTTTGTAGCTACAGATTGGGCACCCCAGGTTCAACCCAACCAATCCACTACAAAATCCAGCCCCCCGAGATAGAAACCTTAAGTCTATAATATTGGGTTGTGGGTTGGCCATAGTGAGCTCACAGAAATGTATCAGAAAAGTGCGCCCTCTATAAAATCAATCCCTCCAAGTTGCCACCGACAGTCCAACAAATGCAAAACCACATCACGATGCATTTCCCGATGAGTATTCCGATGCGATTTCCGATGCGCTCACCTTTTCTATCCTTTTCCTGACAGAATCTACAAATTTTCAAACCCATTTTGTAACCCATCTGACTCCTTTTCTAACCCATTTTGAAACGAAAACAGAGTTGAACCGGCATGAACCGGCTATAACACGCTACAACGTTGTACGAGACAGTGAGGCGACAGTGCTCCGCATTTTGCTGGAGCTTTCTCGCGACGTGTTCATCATTGTGGAGCAGCCAGCCCAATCATGGGCATACAAGGCAGGGTGTATGATGAACATTAACCCTTCCCACCCTTCCAAGATGGAACCCTCCAGGGCCCTGATTTTGTAGAGATTGAGTGGGAGGTGCGGGGAAGGTATGATAGGATTCATGGTCCTTGATAATATAGAGAAAACTGGTGACAGAAATGGCCCAGGCTCCTGATTCTGTAGAGGATTTGGATATTTTGATTGTATATAATATATATATATATTGTATTACTTATGGTATCTTATAGTATTCTATAGTTTGTATCGACTGCAGGCTAGGCGCATCGCGCCCAAATGCTCCAGGTTTTTGGAAAATCCACACAATTAAAGCATGTGCCCATATTCATGAACCAGCTTTCCCCACCACCTCCCATTCAATCTCTACAAAATCAGGGCTCCTGGAGGGTCCCATCTTGGAAGGGTGGGAAGGGTCCAAGTTTTTGGAAAATCCACACAGTTGGAGCATGTGGCCATATTCATGAATCAGCCTTCCCCACCACATCAGGGCCCCTGGAGGGTCCTATCTTGGCAGAGTGGGAAGAGTCCTGGTTTTAACAAAATCCACAAATACACCTGGCATCACCTTGCCAAATTCAAGAATATCCTTCCCCCTCACCTCCCACTCAATCTCTACAAAATCAGGGTCTGTGGAGGGTCCCAGCTTGGAAGGGTGGGAAGGGTCCAGGTTTTGGGAAAATCCAAACAGTTATATAAAGCATGTGGCCATATTCATGAATCAGCCTGCCCCACCACCTCCCATTCAATCTCTGCAACACCAGGGCCCCTCAAGGGTCCGGGTTTTAACAAAATCAAAAAATACACCTGGCATCACTTTGCCAAATTCAAGAATATCCATCCCCCCCACCCCACACTCAATCTCTACAAAATCAGGGCCCCTGGAGGGTCCCGGCTTGGAAGGGTAGTTGTCTCATTGATCCTTAGGTTTGTGGTCCTCACATACATGGGTTTCTTTTCCCATGATCTGGCCAAGCCTACGCACATGCTGTCGAACATGGAGTGCCAGCCTCAAAGAGATCCATTTAGTGATTTCAGTTTGGTATATTTTTTGGTTGAAGCAGAAAATGTGGTTGGCGCAGGGGAGTTTAACCTAATGTGTTTCATGACAGGTCAACAAAGCAGCTCAAGAGGAAGTTGACCAAGAAGGACAGAGAGCGAATCAAGGTTCCTTGACTGACGCATACAAGTGGTTGCTTTTGCTTTGTCGTGAGATTTAACAGCAATCAGGTAGAATCTTCTAAGGCTGAATGGTTCCAGGATGTTCTAGCCTAGGCCCGACTGGTGAAGAGAAATTTGAAACGAGTGAACCCACGAGTTTATTACCAAGAGCGCAGGCGTTCCGATGTGGGTGGCAGGGAACAAAAGACCTGCCATTTTCCGCGATGTACACCGCCTCTTTTTGTAAAGCAGTTTTGAAGAGTTGGTTGAAGGCTAAAGGCCAATAAAATTCAGCCAGCGCACATAATGCAGCCCGGCCAAGCACGGCTACTAACTCGACGCATTTCCCAACCATCTCTACAAAATGGGTTCTAACCCTCTACAAAATTATGGTGGGTGGGTGCACACCCTTGTGTCAACAGAAGGATGCTTTACAAACCATCTCTACAAAATGGCTTCTAACCCTCTACAAAATTATGGTGGGTGGGTGCACATGCTCGAGTCAACGGAAAGATATGTAAGAACATGACGTTTCTATAAAATCAATCCCCCCAAGTAAATTATGTTTTTGCTAAAAATCTCAAAAACTACCCTGATCACTCTACAGATTTGACCACCCAGGTGGTTCCTTTTGTAGAAACCCAATTTTTTCTCTACAAAATGGTCATTTTGAGCACCTGGGTGCTTTGAATCTGTAGAGGAAATTTTGCAGGGGATTTCAAGGCTCAAGCTCACGAAACTGCTGAAGTGACTTGCCGCTGCATTAGACGCTTACTGCACAACAAAGAATGAGACAGCTTTGCACTTACGTAGGTTCTTCTCAAAGCAGGCACATAGCTCCAGCGTGGAGCTATATCACAGACCAGTGCAAGTGTCTTTGTTAGTGCCAGACTTGCACGGTCCCTGGCACCCCCTGCTGTCAACTAAAATAAGAACAAGCAGTACATTCGAAAAGGATCCCTGCGATTTCAGGGGTCACACGCACACACGCCCCCCAGAGGGGGGGCCGAAAATGCTAAGGGCAGGACGCATGTGCATGTGTGCGCGCGCGAAAGACAAAAGAATGAAGACATGAAAAGAGGACAGGACGGGACAAAGGTGTAGGTGGGTGTGATGAAAGGGGAGCCAAGTGCACAGGGACAAACAATGAAACCCACCTCATTATAAAAACCTGGGCCACCTATGACCTGGGTTTAAAGTACGTGAAGTTGTGCACGTACACGCTATAAGGCCGGGACCGATGTGCGCGCAAACGAAAGGAAGGATGAGATGAAAGACATGAAGACAGGAGGACATGAAAGAGGAGAAAAGATGTGTATGAAAGGGAGAAGGATGAAAGAGGAAACCAAATGAAGGGGACAGAAACCAACGAAACCAAACCTCATTAAAAACACCTAGTAGGTAGACCTTGCCTCGTTAAAGTGTGTACGCGGTGTGTGCACCCAAGCACCCGACAGGTTCCAATGAACCTTGAGCAAGCTTTGGTCGCTGCGACCACGTACGGCCTGCCCGAAGGCTGTTTGACCGCTTTGGTCACGTAAAGGCATGAGCCAGCTTGGACTTCATAAATTCGACAAAAGTCTGAGTTCTCTCGGCCTAGGCCACCTACGCCCGCTCTGGGCGCGTACATCTCCGGGCAGGGGAGATAACGACAAACCCCCGTTCGACGGGTCCACAAGGGGCCACTCTTCGGGGCCACCCTGGGCTGGCATTATGATTTTGCGTACGGAACTGAAAGCGGTTGCCACACGCCAGCCTAAGTGAAAAAACCCAAGAAACCAGAGTGAACATGTGAAAGCCTAGGACCATAAACCTGCAAAGGCTTCCAAAGTTCGCCAAAAGGTTCAAGGCTCAAGCTCACGAAACTGCTGAAGTGACTTGCCGCTGCATTAGACGCTTACTGCACAACAAAGAATGAGACAGCTTTGCACTTACGTAGGTTCTTCTCAAAGCAGGCACATAGCTCCAGCGTGGAGCTATATCACAGACCAGTGCAAGTGTCTTTGTTAGTGCCAGACTTGCACGGTCCCTGGCACCCCCTCCTGTCAACTAAAAAAAGAACAAGCAGTACATTCCAAAAGGATCCCTGCGATTTCAGGGGTCACACTCTGACATTGGTTTTCAGTTAACTCAATTGCCACGATGGGA